TGTGCACAAGAGATGTCTCTCGTGGATAATTCGTTGATATTTCAAACAATGGGTGCACGGTTCTATTCTCAGTGGAAACACCATCATTTATTGGAAACAACAGCTACGACCAGATGACGAGTCTCAAATTGGACGAAATGTACATCCTGGATTCCTCTCTTATTCACTATGATACAAAATGACATCGTGTTAATCTTGGGACATTGTTGAAACGTACGTACTAGGAGTGTCAACAGAAACCGAGCATTTTCGGTCCAGTATAGGTTTTTCCGTTGCACTATTAACTAATGTGTTATATTTGAAGCCAGTTGGTTGATTGTTACTAGCAGTGGAATCCAGGATGCACATTTCGTCCTATTTGGGACTCATCATCTGGGTCTACCTACATTCCCAAGTGAGTGATGGTGTTCCTACCGAGTCTCGAACTCAGTGCCTGTAGTTTCAAACGCCAAAGCGTTATCCACTTGGGCCACGAGAGCCACCTCCACTGCTATTCACCATCAACCGATTGACTTCAACCTACATGACCAGACATCGTCGAAGCATCTACACAAGGAACCGACATGTCAGCCTGAAACCGAGCACTTCAATCCAGTCAATCGACGGGAAAATCTAAAATGAATTTAATGATGTGTTATGTGGTTTTTTCAAGTGTTAATTTTCAGAGATTTGGTTGGTTATTTTGTGAAGTACCAGTTTCTAGATTACTGTGCGCATGCATGAAATTTAAGCAATTCGCCTTCCTGCCTTGTGTTCTGTATTATTTTGAACACAAAAATATTGAATAGTTTGGTAGTAGTAGTAGTCAACCTCCCCGTTTCAGGCCGTTTAGTCATTGGGTTGTAATTTTCGTATTTCTTAGGATATATTTTGCTTACACTAATTGGTCACCAAGCAGTAACCACTATCATACGCCTAGTTCTTGATCTTGGTGCTGACTGAATTTTACACAGTCAGTGTGCACTTTAAAATGATGTTAGATAATTGAAGATAATAAGAAGGGAGCTCTGAACCTAGGTGTCAAGGTTGTTAGCACTTATTAGGATTGCGTATCTGTAGCCTTGAAGGAGTTGATGTCACCTCGGAGTTTTGAACCCGCTTCAACACCGAGCTTTTCAGGCTCTTGACTGACTTCCTGTAGGATTATATGTGTTATTTGTTAGTGGTGGTTCGCAGATGACCAGTGAATATATTGTCCTGTAGTATGGAAGTATGCCCCATTCACAACTCAGGTTTACAGAATAACGTTTTATAGAGTCACACGCCAACTGTAACCAGTTGTGCAGGATGACAAACCCCGTATTACTGTATTCCACTGTTAAATCAGTCGTGCACAAGATTCTGTGAAGTGTACAACATTCGGTAGCCGAATACATTGGCGATTGTATTCACATATCTTCTGTTCACTGGTTTGTTGGTTCAGTGATAAAATCCTGGCCAACCAAACTCACAGTAAAGGTTTTATTTCTGGTCTAATCAGGTCTTCACCTCGCCTGGTTTACTGACCGTAATTAAGCCCAGAAAAAAGAGGGAAGGTTGCTTATGAGACCGGCAACTTCACGCTATAAAAAGACCCAAACTTTGAAGCTTGAAGCTCTTTCTTCCACTCAGCATGCAATGAATGAATAGGAAAGAGGTGGTTTGGTGGAAGATAGATGTATAACTTTATTTGAATTTCTCGAGGTGATGCACAACACCGAAAACAACCTCGGCTGTTAATGCTCTTTTTTTAATGTCTCGGTTGCTTGGCTGTTGTTAGCAGACAATGTAAGTGTTTGTTCTCCATTGTAACGTAGATAAATATATGAGTTGACGATTTAGTAACCTGTGTTCTTCTATTACTAATTACTTAAAACCGTAAACAACTCAGTAGGCATCTCTTTAAATTAATAAAATAATTTAAAAAAAAAAACATACAACAGTTAGTTAGCTTATTCTATGAGCACAATCTCTAACTACTAATGTACACCTGGTGTTTTCATAGTTTTTCTGTTTCTGTGTTTATTCATTTCTCTCACTGTCTGTCTCTTTTTGTGTGTGCGTGTGTGCGTGCTATATATTATATACTGACTTTTAGGTAGAAAGCATTCTGATTCACTGCTTGTTAAACACACAATTCTGTCTAGCTTGTCTCCATTGCCATACTGGTTTACAAGCTCATATATGCAGAATAATAATAATAAATATGATGTGTACACAGTCAATTAAACATATCTATCATATAGTGGTTTGACATACAATATACTAGTTTGAGTAACAAGATTGATATTCTCATTCAAAATAATCACTAACTTATATATATATATATGTATATGTATATATATATATATATATATATATATATATATATATATAACTTTTACTTTAATTATCATAAGAAAAGTCATATCAATGAAAGTGTATATCTGTCTACACAGTTGCACACAAATATCAGCACGGTGTGAAATACTGTGTGTTTGTTGTTAATTTGCTCACTACGGTTACGGTACACAGTTTGGTTTAATTTATGCTCATTATTCCACTTAACGAAATTAATGATATAGTGGCTCGCATGGTTTTAATTACTCACTTGATTTTTAACTATACAATGAGGGATAGATATTAGGAGTATTGTTTTCAGTTAGCAGGATTTTCACACACTGGTAAAATGACGTCAAATATATATATTGTGACGCATTTGCATACACATCCTTATCATAAGATGTCGCGCACCGCCATCAGTAAGTAGTCAATGTGCGCGTGTTTGCGTTTGCACGCAGTTAAGCATTGAATGGGAAATTCTTCTTTATAATTTTTTTATTTTATCCTGACGTTCCGATAGAAGCAGTGGAACATCTACATTCGACTCGCTACTTCTAACTCTACGACATAACACAACAGGGCTTTCATTTCCTCTTCATATGATTACATTCCTGCAATCTCATGCCTAATTCATCGCTTCCCACTTAGGTTAAACTCGAAGGCATGATGTGTGATGTCGCTCAATATCCCTCATCATCTTCATTTCTTTCAGCATATTTGTTTAAGAAATAGGTCATCGAGTGGTTCACTGTCTGCCAGTTCCTTTTTCACATATGACTTTCCAGTTAGTCATCTTCAGTAAGTGTGAGGTAGCGAAGGCAGTTATTGGTAAAATTCTGTTGAAAATGCTTTTCATGTGACGCGTGCGTCGAGTCTCTAAATCATATAGTAGAAGCAGTCGGTTGACATTACTTTTCATTATATTCGGATCCTATATTCCTTGTGCTGAGTGGTGTAGACCTCTACGTTGATTTCAAAGTGATAGAGACCTGTCTTTATTCCCCTGTCTCGTTTTTGACATCCTCATTCGTACCGCCGCTTGCAGCTAGAAGCGACGACTGCCTTTAGATTTCTACCACTGATGGTCAGTCGGTCGGTTTTCGACATAGAACTTTGCACATATGTGCGGCAGTTCAAGTCACCACACTCCATGTAGCACACAAAGCAAGAGAAGAAAGTAGGAGAAATGCATAATAATGACAGTAAACAGAGGTGTGAGACAGAGGAATAGTAATAACGAAGAACAAAACAGTTTGATTGGAAATCATAAGTCACAAGGAGTGGATGCATGTGCACCAGCCATTGAGAACGATTTTGAGCACTGATGGTGTTTTTTTTTGGTTGGCTGTCGGTTATCTTCATCACTTTCGTATTCTCTGTGTTCATCTGAGGTCTTGTCTTCGCTGATGTCTTCTCCCAACTTGTTAATTTCCGCTTGTATATCTTCGAGTTTGTGTTTGGATGAAATCATCTGAGAGAAATATGATAATAACAAAACTGGCGTCTATCTATCACCACTTTACTGATTCTCAATGGTTAGTGTTGCACTGACTGAAAGTATTCGTTCGCTGATAGTGATATATTGTCAGTGGTGATGCTTCTGGAGTTGCTGACTGTGCTTTGCACAAAGTATATGAAAATTGTCACTGTATTATGACCTATCAATGGTGTATATATATATATATATATATATATACACCATCGAAGCCTCCGTGTTAGGGACCAACGTGTTAACCGAAACTGAGCATTTCGGTCTCACATATTCAACCAATGAGGAATACAAATCAACCTGAAGGCAAATAATAACTGATATTCCTTACACAAAAGACGCCTTTCGTAGCCTTACGCTCTGATGCTTGAAACGACAATTTCAGGGTTTGAGTCTCAGTAGAAATATCGTCACTCGCCCCAGAGGGGAGGGAGTGAATTGCTTTGATCATTTTGGATTGGCAAAGGGGGATTGTTGACTCTTGAGGAGAAGTAGTCGGTACATGCTACCGACAAGTCACGAAAAGGGAGAAATCAGCATACTGTGTTCCAACATCAACCGAAATAAAGGAGTTCTGTCGTCAGTGTAGTAGAAATTTCATGTGAAAGTCAGTGAATCTATCAGAGAACTCAACTTCACCCATATAGACAAATATAGTTTTCAAGTATTGGTTTTGTAGGGATTTCGTTTGATTGCATGGAGGATTTCATCATGAGCCGACATCAGCGTACTGATGAAGAGTCCCAAACTGGGACGAAACAGCTGTCCAGTACTCCCAGCTGGTTTTCCAGTGGTTCTCTAACTGATGTTAGCTGATGATGAAATCCTCCATGAAATATAGTTTTGTTCGTGTTTTTCTTGCATTTGTTGAGACTTGAAGGCTTTTACTTTTACTCAGTATTTTGCCCATTAAAAGCATATACTTCAATTATTAAGCATTCACAATTTTAAACTGATTGCGTTAGAATCATACTATTGACCTTAGTCACAATGCAGTCATTCCATGCCACAAAAGCAAAGAGATTCACTAAATTAGTTTTTGCCGTTATTTTTTTGAAATCTTATTACTCATTTAATAGTTACTTTTCTGTTGTTTTTTTTTTTGATGCTTCATGTAATCTTTCATTTTGTTTTATATTCTTCAAAAATCTCATTTTATAACTTGAAATTTGTTTATTTCCAGCTTATTTTAACTTCTTTCCCCCTGTAGAAAGCGTTGAATATTATGCAAATTGATGAACATCTACTCAGAAAGTGTGACTCTGCTGTTGTTGCCGGTGCTTTGAAACAATACCTTCTAAGTCTACCTGAACCTTTAATCACATATGAATTTGCTGACCAATGGGCTGCTGCGTCTAAAAAGTAAGTCTTAGATTGTGTGTGTGTGTGTGCGTTCGTTTGTGTTTATCCATATACAGAGATATAAGAGATACTATGTATCTTTCTACATCGTAAATATAGACTCGTTTTACAATTGTGTATTTGGGATGAAATTAATCTGTTGAAGTGATAACAGATTAATCAGATATACTCAGTCAGTGTTATCTGTTCTTATGTGCTGCATGTTTAAATTTGAAATTCATCTTTCATTTCTCAGTATTTTTTAAGACAGTAAATAAATGCCCATCGATAGATAATATACGGCGGTCCACTTGAATTTCTATCCAACATAATCGACAAGATTTTGTCTCTTTCCTTTTGTTTAAAACACTGAATTATGCCTGTGACTTGGTTGGATTTTGACCTACTGTTGAGCATCTCTTATCGACGGAAGAAAAACGCCATATGAGATTATTTTATTCTTCAGGTCGAACAGCAGTGTGTTACATTATGTACTCTAGATTGCTATTTACGCTTGAACTTCCCGGATGAAGGGAAATATTATGCAATAAAACTACACTGAAAATTCTGTTTATCGTGTAAAACATTTTATGCAGAATAAATCTGTGATTTTGATTGGACACTAATTAGTAACTATTGTAATGTATCCAGTCCTTTGTTCAGTGCAGAATGAATTCTGTTAGGCAAGTTTGCAATGCATCCACGACTAGACACATTACACTAGTTACTTACTAGTGTCCAATCAAAGTATCCAATACAGTAGTCATACAGCAGGTCAATTGCGAGCCTGAATAGCTCATTGGTAAAGTCTCTGACTGCAGCACTGGGTGACGTGGGTTCGAATTTCAGAAGGGATTTGAGTTCCTTAAACCTTGCAGATACGCCTTGCTGACTGGTGAATGTCAACTAGCACGAAACCTAGGTAGAGAAAGTTATCCTGCCGATTGCCCCCGAACATCTAGTATCAAATCTATCATTTGGGATAGAGAAAGAAAGACCAGATTTGCAGTAATAAAATGATATCATTCTATTTCACAGGTTCTCATCAGCTGCAAACTACTTCAATGTTTGAAAGGTTTGTTTATTCCCTCACCCATCTGTTGATGTTTACTTTTAGACAAAGTCCTACTCCAGCCAATATCCAGTTGATTCACTCCTGTTTGGAGAAGATGCCTGCAGATTTTCGTTTGAATTTGGGCTATCTAATGTGCTTTCTATCCAGATTATCGAATCAATCTAATGTGAACAAGATGACTTCAGATAATTTGTCCATTGTCATTGCTCCTAATATGTATCGATTGTCTTCAGGTGCCACTAACACCGGGAGCAGTGTGAATGGGAATTTAACACGATCAAATGAAGATGTGTAAGTGATTTTTTCCCCTCGTTAATTGTTATCGCCTCTTTTACCTATGGCCTATACAGCATAGTACTGTGAAGGTTAGCATTGAATGTCGTTGCAGCTATCGACTGTTAACTTCACAGAATTACTTATCACTTATCGCTAGATTGACAATTCATGTATGATCCCCATCCAGGCACTAATGAAAACAAAACACTTAGATCAGCGAAGAGTCTCTTTTTGGCGAATTCATTTTCTTAGCTGTACAATGAAAGCTCCGCAACTAAACCAACCAGCTCAGAGAACACTAATAATTGCATATATGTGTTATTTTGTATGTATGTGTACATTAAGTTTGTCAAACAAAAATACAATTGGTTATAGTTATTTTAACTAAAGAGGTGAAGATTGGTAATTGGAGTTACGTAATACAAAATCAGTCAAGAAAATTAGGTGTTAGTGAAATTAGGGTAGTAACAAAGGTGATGAGTTGTCACAAACAGTTGTTAAAAGAAGTTATGTAATAATATGAATAGTTTGGTGAGTGAGTTTTACTCAGGATGTACATAGGAACAAAGTAGATAATACGAAATTACGTAAGAGTTCCAAATGAATACAAGAATTATAAGTAATTAAAGAACAGGCAAAGAAACAAAATTAAGTCATCAAAATGAAAAAAAAATCAAATCAAAAAAGTTGTTACCAAGACAGTAGAAGTGGTTGAGTAATCTTCTTTTGTATGCACAGCTCCGGCTTTCTATGTGAATGGCCAGAGCTTCAGTGATACAAAGAAGGCGAAACCGTATTGCCTCTGATAGGTTGTTCTTGACTCTGTAGATTACTCTGAAGGAGGCGTTTGTTGAAATGGAATGATCAGTGTTAACCAGGTGTTCAATTTTCTCACTCCTTATTGAACCACTATTGCATTTTCGCAACCAAGCTGGATAGTGTTCTTGAATCCTCTTGGACAGGGTGCGCGTCGAAAGACCGATGTACCTGGCTCCACAGCAGCAGGTGAACTGATCTATGCACATAGAAGTGGTCAAATACGGGATCTTGTCCTTGAGGCTTCTGCAGATCAGTGGGCGACTAGAGAACACTATCCTTGGCGTTGCTGCAAAGAATGTTCTTCTCAGAGATGATGAGAATATTACTTGCTAAATCTCCCTTGAAATCCAAGTTCATGTAGAATTTCTTTTTTTGGCGCAATTAAAGTTTCGTTTCTCCGAATTCTTGGTTTGATATTTTTGTCGGTGAATCTTATTGGGTATCCATTTTGGATGAAAATTTCTCTTAGAATATCTAATTCTGTTTCCAGAGCGTCGGGACTGCAGGTGCGTCGGATGCGGGTGGCAAGTGATTTGATTAAATTTCGCTTTTGTTGAATGGATACCCAGCTATAGAAGCTTGTTAGTTGACCATTCCAAGTAGGCTTTCTATGGATCGATCTTCTTAGGCTCCCATCAGTTCTTCTTGTTAGTTCCACATCAAGAAACGGAATTTTGACTCGTTTTCCATTTCAAGAGTGAATTTTATTGCTGGATGGCAACAGTTAAATTTCTTCAGCAGTAGATTGGGGTCATTGTTGTTGTCACAAATAATGAATATGTCGTCTACGTATCTTTTATACAGTCACAAATTGTCAATGCTTGGCTTTAGTGGACCTTTCTCGAGGCTTGCGACGAAGCAATCTGATAGCAGTGGACCCAACGGAGATCCCATTGCAATACCACCTTTTTGTTTGTAGATGGTGTCGTTGAATGTGAACTGGACGTTCAGGGTGTATGTCAATAGTAATTCCTTAAATATGTTGTTGGTATTCCAATATTGAGATGGTTCTCATCCTATATATGTGCATATGAAGCAGACCGTTTCCGTGAGTGGGATATTGGTGAAAAGTGACTCAATGTCGAAGGACAGCATAATTTTGTTAGATACATTCATGTCTTGTATGCAGTTGATGAACTGGAAGGTGTCACGGAGCGAGTGAGTAGATAATTGTTTCCTTACAGGTTCCAGAATATCTGCTAGCCATTTTTCAATAGAGTGGTAAGGGGAACCTGACATATCCAGAATTGGACGAAGTGGAAGACCAACCTTGTGTACCTTTGGTAGACCGTAAAATCTTGGTATTATTGAACCTGTTGGCCGGATCTGGTCATAGATATCCTCACTGATTAGTTGACTGGCCTTCATTTTCTTCAAGACGTCTGTGAGCTGCTTCTCAATCTGTTCCGTTTTGTTTCTTTCATTGGAAGATTGACAATTGTCAGCTGAAAGTAAATTACCTAAAGCACTGAGCTGCATTTCCACTATCAGTTAGTTTCATGTGTACACAGATAATTCTCCAACTCTGCTATTAGTGTAAAGTTTACCATAGATTTTAATGTATAATTTGTATAAGCTTAAGATAATACTACTTGTGTATATACTACTTTAAAAAGGGATTGCCGTCTGTAAAGGTAATTGATCAGTCACAGTGTGACAGTGACATGCCCCTCCCCCCCCCCCCACACACACACAAAGCACAGATTGAAGCTGAGCGAACGTAATTGAATGCGTTTCTTATGACCAGTTTGAATACAGCTGATTCCAGAGTATTGAAGGCAATCATCCAGTCGCATTCAGATAAAGAAAAATGACGACCGATTCGGTACTTCAAGAATTGTAAATTGTTCTGCCTCAAATTCGCTTATCACTCTGAAATCAGTATGGAGGTCTACAACATCCATCAGAGGAGACACTTTAATGACAAACCAGTGCTTCTACATGGTTCAGCGATGATGATTTGGAGCCCAGGCGTCACCAAGACTATTTCCAACAGACTTCTATCAATCTTGCCTATCTTCGCTGCTTCGGAACACAAGTGATGAATATTACTAAAAATGTCTTAAAAATAGAGCTAAATTGATTCATTGATGACAACAGTTCACACACTTCACTTAGTCTACGTGATAATGAGTGAATATGCACATCCGCACATGGGGATAGACATTTAGTGAATGTATAAACTACAAATGGAAGAATGCATATAGTGTACTGAAGATAAACAGTTTTGTGGGTCAGTCATGCGCAACTGCTTATTGTAATCTAACTTTTGAGGTCAAGATGAGTGTGTTTGGCGATATATATATATATATATATATATATATATATATACATGATACTCATTTGCAATGTAAATCTAATGTAAACCACTTCCGTTTCACTTTTCTTACAAATACTTTCTGACTGGCTTGTATATATAATACTAGTTCAGTTTTGTCTAACTTTTTGGTTTTCATACTGCCATTCAAAAAATGCACAATCTATTTTCTCTGTATGCATTCAAATGCATACATACTACGCTACAGCCTTGGTCGCTTAAGTGAACTGTACAACCGTTCTCTCTCTCTCTTTGTTAGAAAAGAAATCATATTTAACATTTTCTGTAACCGAGTGTTTGAACCCTGCAGGGAAGTGTGTGAATTGTTTTGATCTTCTTTGGAGAGCGAAGGGGGATTGTGGATTTTTGAGGAGAGAGAGTAGAAGTAGCCTGACGGTAAACTTGGTAAAGGATTGTTAATTTGGAATTCGCTATCTCCATGTAACGAAATTATGTACACCTTATCACCAAGTCTTCATTTGCACCTATCTTTTGTGTTGTACTACTTCTGCCCTTCTTTGTCTTCTCTTCGTGTCCCCAATGTTTTGCTGCAGCGGTGAATCATTTGCTGTCTTTGAGATCGAATCTATCTCTCCGCAATTTGACATTTTTATGCCAATGAACATTGGTGGCACAGTGGTTAGGACTCTCGTCGACCATGCACATGGTCCCTTGCTGACGCACACCTGATATCACTGGTCGGCCTGCGAAATTTGGGCTACCGATATTGCATGCTGAAAATTCCATACTTGTACGAAAAATAAGTTGTGGAATCAAGCTGTAATCAAAAATAAAAATAAAAAATATATATTACTGATAAATTTCATCAGTAGCACACGCTGCAGTAGGAGTTTCCACTATTTTCTTGACAATTCTACATATTTCCTTTCGCTGTTTTGAAGTGAAATAATTTCAGGAGGACTCTTGAAATGTTTAGTAGATATCGTCTACTGACTACTGATTATTTATCATCAATGGATGAGAGCTTTATTAAAATAGTACAGTTTCATTAATCTTAAATGAAGGAAAGATGGATACATTTAGCAGGAAGACCAGATGAATGTATCACAGGCAACCTTGGCTTAACTCTAGCTGTGTATTATATTTATGTTTATTTTATACAAATCTGATGCCATACTTTTGCATCAGGTATATTTTATATCAAGTTAACAAAGCGTAGTGTTCATCACTCAGGATTCAAGATATTTTGAATTTAAAGTCAATCTGAACGAAGAATATTCTTTTCAATAATTTCTCTTCAGTTTCTTACAATTATGATATATAATATTTGTTGTCGTTACAATAATGGCCAGTTATGTGGCAGATACAGGGGGGAAATTAAGTGCATAAAAAGCTCGATCCCGTCACACTTGGTCGATACTGGGCATCATATCGATGTCAACACAGCTTTCAGGGTTATATACCGAATTCCGAAGTCTTTATCACGTACAGTTCGCTTACGTCTTCTACACATAGCTGAAGCTGTTGCAATAAGACCGACTAAACCGAAACGTTGTATCCAAAAAGAACACGTCCAGATGCTGTTCCTACCGTGGCCAAACTTGGATTGATGATTCTTCTTTTCACCAAGAGTGCTCCTTCCCCTTAACCCTCTTGGCCTTTTTTTCCTTTGCTTATCATTACAAATATTATTATTATTACAATTATTATTAATATTATTATTATTCGTCATAATTTATGCTCTTCATGCAAACACTCTCAATACTATCGAATTTTTCGTTTATACTATCCGGACTTATTACTAGTGATATTATCTCTTTTCTCAATATGTGCCTCCACCTACTTCAATTCACATATTCGTTATTTCATTATGAACCTCTCATTGCAGTTTACTATCTCCTGTTTAACACAGACCACTTTGTACTAGCCACTCACCTGACACCTTTTATAACCTTGAACTGCCTTGTCAATTTTCCTACCCCACACTCTATAAATCTATTATGATTAATCACCATTGTCTCCCGTTTTACAATATTTAGTAATCGAATTCAGCCTAGCATGTTTGTCACACAAATACGACTATTTATTTTGACATCCCATAACTAATCTGTTATTCTACGTTAAAAATGTATCCTCCACATAACTGGCCATTATTGTAACGACAACAAATATTATATTTTATAATTGTAAGAACCTGAAGAGAAATTATTGAAAAGAATATTCTTCGTTCAGATTGACTTTTAATTCAAGATATTGGACTTAAAAATCACTCGACGAGTTCGTGCAGCAAACCCCTTTATGTAGGCATTATCTTGTACTTTAGCTCTCTGTTTGCGAACTTGCTAGCTACTCTCAGCAGTTGTATAACAAAGACAAGAGAGGCATAAGATCATGAGTAACTAATAATTTGAGTAACAATGTTGTGAGTTCAATTCAAATCATAGAAACAAGAGGCAAGCAAAACTGCATACATTATTATAGAGGATGGAAAGAGGTTAAAGTCAAGGATCGCGTAATCAAATGAAAGAGACGGCAACGACATAAGGTCAGCAGAACAAGGGGAGACGTAACTGCTTCTTTCTGAACACATAAATCGGGTTTCAGGCGTTTAATAGCAATTGCTTCGGAAAACTTCAGGAGAATTGAACTATCTTGTCTGTTGATAATTCCACTGGATTTTGTAACCCATATCAACAAGATGCCTGGGGATGATACTATTGGAAGCGTTTGTTCCCGTAAGACGTCGGCCTTTTGGTACTTGTTCAGAAAATCAAAGGTGTGCCTTTTTTTCTCTCCTCCCAAAGTAACTGTGACTACAGATACATGTAAATTTGTATACACTGATCTCACATAAGAAGGGTATCTGTCGACCTTCGATTGCATCAAAGAACATGTCAGAGAACCAAATATAACGGAGATGCACAGTATAAGCACTATGTTCTGCTTCAAACTCGGAGTGAATAATAATAAACATGTAAGAGAAAAACCAATAGTGGACAGCATGATATTTATAGCTTCACTTCAGTTGCTTCAAACTCAGTCTGCCTCAGATAATTCCAAAAACAAATTTTCTCTTACCCCTTTCCCGTCATTCAACTGAAGAAATTCTACTTGGCAACTGCTTTGATGATAAAAAACCTCATTCATTAAAGTAACAGTTGGGCAGCCGTGCTCTTGATTACAGAATTGAAATTTAAACCTCATCATAAAGGAGATTTCATGAGTCAGTGTGTAGAACCCCGGTTTCTGAACGTATATGACTCAGTCTTTCTTTCTCAACTCTAATCTTCTCCATCAGAAGCTCCTGACTCACGTCTAGTGAAAGTGTTTTTTATCCTACTAGTAATTTGTATCGCAGCAGGTTTTTTAACCGAAGTTATATCCTGAGGCAGTGTTATACGTGTTTAGTTCCTGGTTTTTGATGCCTGAGTCTCTGGTGGTCGATCAGTGTATCCATTATAGTCCTACAAGAGGTTCTTCGTGAAACTGAATAGCTCAATGATGATGCCTGTGGTTACAGCCCTGGCCGATGTCGGGTTCGCATCTCATAGGGTTATAAGTTCCTTCTAGGCCGCAGATACGTTTTCCTGACGAGTGCTAACAGACACAAAATGCAGGTCAAGAGTTTCTCAATGATTATCTCCAACCATCTAATTGTATCATTACTGTAAGTATTCCGCTCTTAAATTACTTACTTCTTCTTCTTCTAATGCTCGACATTATATTTGGCTTTATAACAAGCGCTAGACTACACGCTTTCATATTCAAAGTTATTTTTCTTTTGTATATGCTGTTTTCTAGGATTATTACCTTTTCATTTTAGAGGGAAGTCATTGGATTTCCTGCAGAACAATCGTCCAGCAATTCACTTAGTGGATATTCTCATTCAGAATGCTGAACAATTGTTTGGACAAGAACAAGGTATGTTAATTGTGACTGCTGCATATCTCTTCTGTTTTTATAGTATAATTCAGAGTAAATAGTTTGGATGAAGTAGCTTATTGTGTGCTGGGAAGCTCTGATATCCTGCTTAATACGAGAATAGGATTCATTGTTATTCGTAGCGTTGTCAAATAGCTGTTGGATGAGGTTGATCAAGATTTGGTGTACTACACTCCATAGTAGTTTCCAAATTACTTCTCGGTCAACACTGTCGAAGGTCTTTTTGAATTCAATGAAGATAAGGTACAGTTTTGACTGCCATTCTATGCTCGCCTAGTTTACCAGCTTGCTAGTTTTCTAGCCGGTCCTAACTCCGGGGTAAAGAGGAAGGGTTGGGCGTGGGGCTATCGACCCTATCCCACAAAAGCAATCAAACTGCTACAGAAACTTCAACGTACAATAAAACAAGCTGAATTTTCATTGTATTCTCTTTAAAACAAACTCTCCTGAATTTTTTTCTTATCGATCAGAATAAGGCAAATTAAGTTTTTTTTTAAAAAAATTTACGATTATTGATGATACTTTTTATTCACATTTCCTGTAAGTAAATAAAAAAATTTTTATTTCAGCTTGTTTTCGTCTGACTCATGTTCCATCTCATTTGGTACCGAAAATGTATTTGAGTCGTTCATCGTTGCCTTCAACAAAACTAAACAGTTCTATCACTTCTTCTCATGGACTGGAAAATACTAATTCATTGAATGAACAATCGTCTTTAAATTCTAGCAACAGTAGTAGTGTTCAAAAGAGACCAGCTGTACCTGATCGTGGTGATGTTACCCTACCGAATAGTCATTTGAATGCTTCGACTATGTCTTCAAGGTAGGTAGGTGGTGACATTTAGAACAAGCAAATTTCTATTCAGAATTGCAATAATATCCTATAGATAATAATAACATTTTCAAATATTGGTTTGTAGGAATTTGATTGATTGCTTACAGGATTTCATCATGAACTGACATCAGTTAGAGAACCATTGGAAAACCAGCTGGGAGTACTGGACAGCTGTTCCATCAGCCTAGTTTGAGACTCTTCATCAGTACACACCCACCACAGGGGTTTGAACCCAGAACCTTCTGGTTACAAGGAGAGCTCGTAGACCATTGAGTCACTGGGATCCGATCCAAAAGCCACTGTATGAATTCCAACTTCTGTCAATTCATGACATAGCGTGACCGCTAGCCAATGTCTTCGGCGAGTATTTCTCCTCACCTTCGACCTGTTGCACCCTACTAGTTCGAACCCCGGTGGGTGCGTACTGTGAAGAGTCCCAAACTAGGCTGACGAAACAGCTGCCCAGGATTCCTAGCTGGTTTTCCAATATTTGTCTAACCGATATCAGCTCATGATGCAATCCTGCAACCAAATAATACTAATAATTTGCATGGTGATGCAGCCTGCTTTTTTAACTTTGAATTGAAGTATGCGTTGAAGATGTTGCTTAGTAGGGCAATAAAAGCTTCGCAAATAAACCACCTAGCTCAGAAAACACAGCTACACCAAAATAAGTATACATTTGAGAGAGAAGGAGAGAGTAGGACTTCAGGTAGATTTAAACAAGATGGAGGTGATGAATATACCAACAACAAACGCCAAACCCCATCAACGGGAGAGATTTAAGGGAAGTCAACTGAGCAACACCGTCTTAACCGCAGGCAAATAGTAGAGATGTCAAGGCCAAACAGGATGGCAAAAACACTGTAGAAATCTACCGCACTCGGTATAAGGAACAAGATCTCGATCTTCAACACTATGATTCCCCATGGTTTAAGAACTTGGCAAACCTCACGAAAAGCATTTCAGACAGGCTTATTCAAACTATCTTCGTTGGCTCGATACTGAAGATCAGATGGCCAGAAGGGATAAGGAAAAGGAAAATCTGGCAACAAACCAATCAAGAACCTGCCACCCAAGAAATATGCAGAGAGAAATGGGGACAAATGGACGCATTCTGAGGGACCACTGGATGGCATCAAGCACCAGGCCCTCGACTGGGCCCTAATTGGGATTGACACTTTGAGTGCCTGGAGGTGACATGTAGACAACCGTATGAGAACAAAATGAAACATGCTGCCAGTTGAAAAGGACTGCAGAAAAAAATGAAATGTAGATATGCTGCTAAACCCATTTTTTGTTGCATTCCAAATCCACGGGAATGGTAAAAATAGTAATAATAATAATAATAATCATCTTATATAAAGTCTGCATTTTATTCATTTATATAATGAGTAAATGTTACAGTCCCTCACCTCTGTACTGTTGTGTGTACGGTGATTCGGTTTGATTCAAGGTGACTTTCGTCGTAAACTACATATGGTTTGAGAATGATTGAAAGCGAATGGGCACCAAATAGGGGGTTCATTCTACTTCCTTTGCATCCATCTGTATTTTTCATATATTTATTTGTTCCACTTGTCTGTTGTACTTATTTTAGAATGTCACTTCCCGGAAGTACCCCTGTACTCCAAAGGAAGAAGAATGCTGCTCCTAAACCACCAGTTCCTACATATCCAGCTAATTGTGCATTCATTCCTGTGAGCAACATTGTTCCAAAAGTGAATCAAGTAGACTCACAAAAGTCTGACACTTCTGTTGTGCTTGAATCAGAGAATACCAACTCTACTGATCCCATTGCGGAAGCACCTACCCATGGAGAAAATCCTCCACAGCCTAAGGACAATGCAGGTAACTCAACAGGGCTACCTTCCACAGAAATAAAAAACACCGATAGTAATTGTCATAATTCATTATTGCAGCCAACGACACCGCCAGCATCAATTGCTAATGAATGCAAAATCAGTAAAGAACCACCGAAAAGACCTCCACCACCTGATGTTAATTCAAAGCAGAACAATGCTGGTCCAGACTCAGAGACAGAAAACATCACTGTTATGTAGAAATACGTATTTTTAGAAAGCATCAGTTTCTATTCCTATGCCTTTTTGGTCCAGTTTACGTAACCATAGTTCCAGTTAACGAAAAGTAAATAAATAAATAAATATTAGGAATTGCTGAAATTACTGCTGCATATGTGCGATAATTGTATTCGCTCATAAGATTTAATGGTTTTACTACTATTTTCGTCATAAATACTAGTTGAAGTATACATTAACTCGTTTTCGCCTTTTTTGTGTATGATATCCTTTCTCCATTGGTAATATCACCATTTTTGATACAAGGTTATTTAATATTCATAATTTTTGAACGGAATCTCACCTTTCTTATCGTGTTTATAATCACCAACTTGTTATTTAACATGCTAACCTGTTATCTGTATTTGTTCATTTGAATTCGTCTGCTCACGTGTATTTATCTCTGCGTGGGTCACTGATGCCTTATTTCTGCAGTGACTGTGACATATATATATATATATATATATATATATATATATATATATTTCAGCTGATTAGCTATCTGTCCTTTTGTTTATCGTGCTTATACACCAATTCGATCCGTCACAAGACTTCTTCAACCGACTATTCCCAATATTCTTTCTACTTCGTGACTTAATTTCTACACAACTGCACCAAAGATTTCAACATTATCACAGTGAATTTACACTTTGAGCCGTTTATTTTTGTACTTTTGTTAAAAAACGATAAACACTAATTATGTCTCCATTGTTTTCATGATACATTCCAGCGATGTCTCCTCTGCATAAGTTTCTTCCAATCTTACCAGTATTTTGTTTGACCTTGTAAAAAAGGTGTTGCTTTGTTATCTGTTGTTCTTTATGCATATCAGTCTACCAGTGTTTCTATTTCACTATTATTATTATTTTTTTTAACTTATAAGTAGTTTGAATTAGTGTATTTCGTCAACGCATTTTTCTATTTTGCGTTTATCGACGTTTAGTTTGTGCCTACTGTGAGAATTGAAGCTTGAATGTTTTTTATTTTTATTCACTGCCTATTTGCCTATTGGTCGACAGACAATATGGCGTACAAGGTCAGAATTGATTATACACACCATGAACAGTATGAATTACTTTCCCCTATTCTGGATTACAATTTTATATGCTTTCAGTGTTTTTTTCTGTTTTAATGAGTTACTACAGCTTTTTTCTATATTCTGTTCAAAAAAAGTTCTTTCCCCGCTAAATCGTTGCATTGTTGTCTTTTTTTATTGATGAAAACAGAGTACGGCTGAAATACTGGCTAGATAATATTATCCACCCAATCGATAGTTGTTATCTTGATGCGGTAATCAGGCTAGCATATCTCAGTAACCCAACGAGCGACACTGGCTGAAATGAATGTTCCTACAGGTCCTGTCATGTCAGAAAAGTCTTTTGCGTAGCGGTTAGGCCGAAAGCAGTTACATTGTAGTGCAAGTCGTTAACACTATGTCAGATGTCTGAGGACGAAATGGTACTGCTGACGAACACGAATGTAACAGCAGTAAGGTGTTTCTCTGAAACGATCAATAAGCTAGGTATGCTGCGTCTGCACTCTTGGGAGAGATGTTAGGAGAGTTCGACACTGAGAATTGTACATCTCGACTTGCTTTGTGGCGGTCCGTAATCGGCGGTAAGACTTAAATACGGATACAACTTTAAAGCAGCCCGTGTGTAAGTGATCGCAGGCAGTTGTCCCCTGGGATCTGCGGCTACGCGACACTAATTTTCCTTCTGTTTCAGATATTTCAGTATGAAATCAACTTCTATGGTGTGTTCAATTGAGAAGTCATAACTGCACAAAAAGCTTTCCTGTCATTTAGATTTTAATCTGTAACTTCTCAGGCAACCAACCAATCAATGAGAATACCGATTCATTTTTATTATCGTCATTATCTCCTTGGATTTCGAGTGGAACATAGAGCTTCAACAGTTCATATCTGTTTCTCTGTGTTCTCTGCAGTTGTTTTTTTAATATCTGGCTCTGTGTTCGCCCATAAGCTTTGATTTCCTACTGACACAATCTCCTCCATGTCGTCCTCGGACGCCCAGCTCGTTGTCTCCTACTGGTGTGCCACATCACCCAATGATCTCTAAAGCGTACGACCAATTCATTTCCATTCCCTTCTGCGTACTTCATAGTCGGCTATAAGTCCTTATTTGGTTTGTTGCCAGTGTGTCGTGTTGCTTATGCTTTCTGGCCATGTGATCTTCAGCATCGAGCGAAGGCAGCTGTCTGCAGTCTGTTGGCGATGCTTTTCATGATGCACGCACCAAGTATCTGAGCCTTAAAGAATAAATAACTTGACATTAGTCTTCAACATCCCTATCTTATTCCTAATGCTCAGTGCAGTAGATTTTCACACTGATTTCAGAGTAGCAAAAGTGTGTGTGTCCTTCCTTTTTGCATTCCTTGTTTTGACATCATCAACATCATACATGACGCCGTCTTTAGCTGAAATGATGCTGCCCTGTTCAGGTAAGCGGAAGAAGTTACTCGCTTCAGATTTATCCAACTGATTGGCGATTGTTGCTTTTGTTGACGTTGGTGGTTACTAGTTCACTGGCCTGGTAAAAGAAAGAAAGTTGAGTGTGGGGTAGCGACACGATCCTGAAAAATCCATCCAATCCCTATAGAAACTTCAAATCGCAGAGGAATATTAAAGTGTGGATTTGTATAATACTGTAGAGATCTAGTTAGGTAGACGGAAAGCTAGATTATTATGTTACAATGTGGCTTGATAATTAGGTCACTCAATAGTTGTAAAATACTTTTCGAGTAAATATTATAGGTATCAGGTTATCGTGATATTTATAAACACAGACTTTTTCTCTTATAACGATAACAAATCCAATGGGCCATAAAAGTCTAATGTGAACTTTTAACAGAGAATATGAATGTACTTTTCAGCTGGAATCATTATTATTATTACTATTGTCGATTATGCATCAGTTTGTTGTGCTAAATTTGTGCATAAATTATTTGGCGCTGGAATGTTTGGTTGAACATAAAAGGAAATTTTAGTCTTTCTAAATAAAAGCCTAAATGGGATTGAGGATTTGATTGCATTGACTGCATGAAAATAGCTTGTTTTTTAATAGTATCAACAATGAAGAAAAAGTAGAAAGGCAAATTTAATTCAGTGAAAAGTAAATTATTCTTTCAAATTCTGTACGATAACCATGATGGGCCAACTTCAACATGTATTTGAACAAAAAGTCGATATGAAAAAAGGGGGGTAAACAACGACCTACTCGGGTTCTGCTTGAGAGTATGGCGCACGATGTCACTCGACGGTCTCCTCTGAGTGTACTCTATCCATCTCCATTTTCTCCTAGATATTTATCGAACAATAGGTTCTTAGTTTTTTTTCCATAGTTTCTTGTTGCTAATTGTTTCCGGCTGGCCATTCGATCTTCAGTATGGAGGGAAGGCAGCTGTTGCTAAAAGTCTACATTTGGCTCTTGGAAACGCTTTCCGTGATGTGTAGTACAAGTTTATGACCCGTATAGGAGTATTGACTGACTTGACATTTGTGTTGAAAATTCAAATCTCGTTCTTTCTGCTGAAGCGAAGTGCAGAAGGTTTCCGAACTGGTTTCAAGTTTATGAAGGCGTATCTTGCCTTTCCGACTCCAGCTGAATTTGACATCTTCATCCGTTCCGACTGCCTGTAGTTGAAACCGCGTTTCCTAGATAAGTAAAGTAATCAACATCTTTCAGATTTCCTCTTTTGATAGGAATTGGTGCTGTTGGTTGTCTTCATCACCTTCGCCTTCTATGTGTACACCTGGAGTCCTGTTTTTTCTGCGAGACTCTTCAGTCACTTTGTTGGTTTTGGCCTGCAATACTTTGAGTTTGTGTGACATCAGATATAAGTTATCCGCGAAATGCAGATCTAGCATCTTCTTATCGGTGGTCTGGCGTATTCCTGTCTCCTTGCCCCCCACAGTCTGACACATGCTCCAGTCCACCACAATTGGGAATGTTATTATGGGTGGTAATACGCAGCCTTGTCTTACCCCTGTCTTCAGTTCATAGGCTTCGGTGAGTTTTTCATTGTGGCACTGGCAAATAGCTGTTGGGTGAGGCTAGTGAAGATTTAGTGAACTGTACTGCTTAGTGTTGAAGCAGTCTCCAAATTACTTCTCTGTCGAAGACATTTTCGAAGTCCATGAAGTTAAGGTAGAGGTTTGACTACGTTTCTATGCTTTGTTCGATGACGCTGCGTAGAACTGCAATTTGATCAGCACATGGTTTGCCTTTGTTCCTGTTGGGCTGGCGGAGTTCTGCATCCTGTGCATCTTTCGTTCTCTCCAAGATGATGCGACTTAGTATTTTACTTGGCGTGGAAAGGAGCATTATTCCACGCCAGTCCTTGTAGAGTGAGCCGTAACTCTCCCTTCTTCGGTAGTTTGACCAAGTGACATCACATGCCAGGCTCCTTAGTGGAAGCCGAATGGGAAGTGGTGAGTTGGTCGTCAGTGCGAGGGTGACATGAAGGAGGTCATGTGAAGAGGAGATGAAAGCATGTGGGCAGACGTGGAGCCAGGGGAAAACGTTACCGGAGAAGCGAACGCAATGGAGACTTGCAACTGAATCCCTATGTTCCTCTAAGAACTGAAGGAAACAATAATAATAAGCAGAAGTCTCACTCCTGTCTGGTATTTGCCTGTCTAATTGATAACAGTGTAATCTGTAGCTATTGACCTAATTTTCTTGAAAACTTCACTATGTATATTTTTGAGGATTCCCAGGCCATATATATATATATATATATACACTAACAGCCGAATGTTCGTCTACTCTTGTTATCTTGTATTTGTCGTAAATGCTAATCCGATGGAAAAATCAACGAAGAGTTTCCCACAAAAGTAGGCCATTTGGATAAAGCGCGTTAAGGAACAGCATAGAATCTTTAGGGATGATCGCAATTGCACTGTGCTCCTAAATTATCCTCCTTCAGCTATGGTAGTATGTCTCAGGAGGCATAACGTGTATTATAGTCATTCCAGTTGGTGAGAATTCGCCGCCTCATCAACCAACTTATCCCCCCCTCCATAAAACATTCCTCGTTTTATCCCAGCACTGCTCATCATGCTGTTTCATCTGACGTGAGTGATCTAACACCATGGAATAAATTACTTCGTTGTATACCTTCTGTTGCACAGTAACTGCTATCCAACCGACTTTTTGGGGATGGTAGGATCAAAAAAACATTCATGTTATCCAGAATTAAGTATTCCGGTCGCTGAGGTATGTACAATCCCTGCAACCACTTCAGGGTAGCAGTTGTCGATTTGGAAAGGAGAATGAAAGAATTTAGGTGGAGTAAGTGAATACAGACATTACTTAAATTAATCCATGTAGTCTCATCTGCTATGCTTCACCTTAGACTCTCTAGTGTTTTGAAGACTGCTATCTCACAATTGCTTTAAGCTTATGGCTGCCATTGGGTTAAATGCATATTGAAATCTCTTGAAAAAATGTGCTTTGTGGTCAGTAAGCTTATTCTGAAGACATTTCGGTGCATTTCTCTCGTTCTTGGTGTTTGGAATCAGTTGACTGGGAGTTGTGCTTGACCTTACTCCTGTACCTATGGGTATTCATAAGTGAGGCACATTTTCAGCTTACTGAAAACTCATCTTACCTTTGACATTTGGACAAAGAGACAGACCTACTTTCGTAGAGTATTTCATCTGTCATTTTATACTGCACACATCGAAGACATTCTAATTGTCACCTGATTTCGTGAAGTAGATGATGTGCTAAACTCCCCAAGGTTCAAAGTGTATAACAATAAATCATGTTCTCACTAATATGGTACGGTATAACTCGACATCACATAATGTTATTCTATATAACAGGTAGTTATACATTATAACCAAATGGTTGATATTTCGGGCAATGCTAAATTTTCACCCGACATATTCATACCGCGTATTCAAAATACAAACAAAGTTCAACATTTTGTCTTTTCCGGTACTCCTGCATATTGAATCTACTTTTCCTGACTGTTTACACTACTGGCAAACTGAAACAGTCAATCCTTTTGATAAATTTGAATACAGCATTAAGAAGACAAATTTCGTGAGATGATATCTTCATTTTGTAGGTTCTCTGCAATCGCTTTACAACTAACATGGTTCAGAATAATAAAATAAAGCGCATGACAATTGCTCAGTTATATAAAACAAAAGT